GTCATTCTTGTTACAGATCATATAAATGAAATTCACTAATACAAAAAGCTTGCAAATGTTCTTGTGATCACAAATATGCAATTACTTTGTTCAAATGATGCCAGAATAATGATTTACGATTTCAAGAAGGAAACAGATCCGCGGGGTACTTACAGTGCTTTAGAGTGCTTGAAAACACGTGGTCTGGATTGTAAAAGCTTCTGGAGATGATCAGCAATCGATTGAGACAAGTCCTAAGTCCTGAAAACGCCTCTAGCTTGGACTTTGATCTCTCACTTTTTTGTGAATTTTCCAATTCTGGTTCTGCCTCTCTCTGCACTTTTTAACCCTGATTTTCGTCCCTTATGCTTGCTTATGTAATGGTCAGTGTATTAGGGTAACAAATTTGGTTCAAATCTTGCTCCAATAATGATTGCAAATTTGATTTGATTCTCCAAGAAAAACCTTCCAAATTTGATTCATTTCAATCTTTTTGCACATGATTTGATTTGATTCGAATTTGATGATGATAATGATTGAATGTGGAGCCTGAAATAGCCAAGAGATCATGAATTATCAATGCATTGGATTTTTTTATGATTTTATTTGATTTAAAATAAATAAATTCAATTAAAAATCAAATTAAATAATAAAAGTGAAATATGGGCTCATGTCTGAAGCTAGGACACGTGGGAAACTATGCAAACTCAAATCAAGTGGAAAAGAATGGGCCCATTTGACAAAATTTGAAGTTTTGGGGATAGTTGACTTTTGGCAATTTTGTAAAAAAGTCCAACTTCAACAATGCATAACTTCTTCAATTTTGAACTTTTGGAGGTGTTCTTGGACTTTTTAGAAATCTTGAGATGTCCTCTAACCAACCTTTTTGGTCTAATCTCAATTTGATGTTCCATGCTCAAGTTATAAGCTTTGACAAAAATGTGTTTTTGTTGACTTTCAAAAATAACCTATAATGTCCAAATTCATAACTTCTTGTGAGTGAAATTTTTGATCTTGGGGTATGAATATGGATTGTAGGTAATTTCATCCTCTTCAAAATGAGATTTGGATGGGTCATTTCTCATAAATTATGAGAAAGTTATGCTTGGTCAAAGTTGAGTTGACTTTTCCTACAAAACCCTAATTTAGCAACTTTTGAGTCTTGATGAATTTTGAGCAATCCTTGATGAATCATGATCAAATCTTGATCAAATGATTAAATATCCTTCAAAATGAGAATGTTGACAAAAAATCTTGGAGTTTGACTGTTTATAGGTCACAGTTGACTTTTGCCCTAGCATAGTCGATTTTTGGACCTTTGAGTAATAGACTGAACAAATTTCCTCTGCAAGGCTTGAAACTTGAAATGGATGATCTTGAGGATATATTAGGACATTGGGGAGCACTTGAGGTCATTTGGATTCAAGGATCTTGATGCAACACAAAACCCTAATTTGGGGTAGACTGCCTTAGGAGAGAGCTTGTATGGTCAATCCTTGAGCAATCTTGAGCCACTTGGAGATTTTCTTTGCAATGTTTTGAGGAATATGGGATGGCAAATTTTGGGGTACAACACTTCCTCTTAGAGAAAACTGGGTCTGGGCCTGGTTTATTTTGGCCCAACCCATTTTTGCAAGTTTTAACTTTTGTTTTAATTGAGTAAATAAGTAAATGAACGAGAAACGCGGCGTAGTGGTTGGGATGTTGGTCTATGAGCATGGTGTACCGAGTTCGAGACTCCATAGGTTTTTTTTTCTCTTATTAACTCCATTTTTTGTTTTGAAGTGCTGTTTTTGGGAAAAAAAAATATTATTGGGCCCAATGCCTTTGCTGCCTCAAACTCTAGGTTTCTATCTCACACCCTATTTTTGTAATTAACTTGATTTACATTTAAATTAGCTTAGATATAGTTTAGTAAATCTTAGATTTTTTTAATTAAGTTTGGGTTTAACTTAATTGTTTTAGAATTTTTTTTAAAATTTTTAGAATTAATCTAAGTAGTTAGAATTTTAAGTTAGTTTAGATTTTTTAATAACTTCATTTTAGTTTAGATTTAATTTTATTAATCTTTAATTTTATTTTTAAAATTCAATTAAATAAAAACATATAATTTCAAAATTTATTTATTTTTTTAATTAGTTTAGGACTTTGTAAATTACTTTACTAACTAATTTTTGTATATTAAGTCTTAATTGGTTCATTTAATTTCTAAATAACAAAAACCCTAAAAGACAAAAAATACATGCATTCGATTTAACTCTTAAACTAATTATTAGAATAGATTTTTTCTATTTTTTTCTTTCCAAACTTTTCAAACAAATACCAAGAATCTTTATTTCCTTATCTTTACTTTGTTAATTTTACTTCATAAATTTGTTGTAATTTCGATTAATTGCTCGATTCAATTTGGTTGTATTGTTTGCCTATTTGGACTTTTAATCGCATTAATCCATCCCCATTTGTAAATTTGTACCCCCATTCCCCAAAACTCTGTAATAGTGTAGAATTTCAATTCCCGCAATTTACTGTTTTCCTTATACTGTATAGTAATTATGTGTGCATGGCAAGACATAAAATCAATCGTCAGATAACCTAATTTCAACAAAATAACTTGAATCAAACACACTTTTTCGCACGCGCACCTCTAGGGTAATCTCGCTTGTTGCCTCAAAAACACAGTCATGTCCCTCGAATATGGGACGTTTTAGCAAAGACCATTCGATAAAGAAAAAAATATCGTAGTCCCTCGATGACCCTCGATGTTGCCTCCGGTAAAACGATCTAGTCCCTTACAAAAATTGCTAAAGCGTCTCATAAGTTGCTTTCGATGACTGTAAAATTGACCCGCGTCTGTCCCTTCATATCCAACGACGGGGCTTCTTACCAAATCAATGGTAAGATAGCAACATCTAAAGGAGGAAGAAAAGAACATTTGAGACCTTTCGAGTAGGTAGATTCGCTCCTAGTTACTCGTTTGCTCACGACAAAAAAAACATTTTTACACCAACACTTTCATCTCAAAACATTTTCAAAAGACAAAATATTTTGTATACGTTCTTATAGAGACGAGAACCATTGCAAAACATCTTTTCAAAAACACATTCCACAAACGCATCTTTGAACTATCTTTCGAAACAACACTTCGTACGCGTTCTTATAGAAACGAGAACCATTACAAAGACATTTTCAAAATATTTTCAAAGCCCACACCACAAGCACACTGTCAAAGCAAAAGTAAGTGATCTAAATGAGTAACTAAGAGCCCATGGAAAACCATGGATGAAAAGGGTGCTAATACCTTCCCTTTTCATAATCTACCCCCGAACCCGAGAAATAGTCTCGAAAGGTCTTTCCTGTGCTTTTTTACCTTTCCTTTTGGATAAAAGAAAAATCGATGACGACTCTTGCTATCCGCACAAATGCGATCAAAACACAAACCTAAAAGTTAGTTCTCCCACTGTATCACACATACACATAAAATAGATAGACTATGTTACAAACTTTAAATGCAATATCAATTTTTTTATCACGAGATCAACTATTAGGAATTTAAACAAATCATATATAAAATCTTTATCATAAAGGTTAGGCCTTGAATTATATTTATTGGTCTATTACAGTAAATTAAAATTTATCTATTATTACAAGTTGAGTTTTTTTTGTAAATTTCAATAAAAAAACTAATTTATTATTTTAATTATTTATATCAATAAAAAACTAATATACTATTTTAATTATTTATTTCAATAAAAACTAATATACTATTTTAATTATTTTATAGTTTTTACATAAACACCCAAAAATATATAAAATTATTTATTCATCAAAATAAATACTTTATTATAAATTATCAAATATTTAGTTTATAAAAATAACAAATTATTAATAAATAATAATTAAAAAGTAAAGAATAAAATTAAAAATAATAAATACATTTTACAGAAAAATGTGAAAACGAGAGTTACAAATTTTATATAATAACTTTATTTGTAGATGCAAGAAGACAATGTTCATATGAGGAAAACAATATTGAGCATTTTGCTTGGCAAACAATACTCCATAAGGTAATCTTTAGAGCATAATGCTAGGATTTTATAGGATAACATTCTCTTTTCTCTATCTGACGTGCTTTATTTGGAGCAGGAGATAAGAGTTTACGTGGGATTTAGGCTCACTAAAATTAGTTACGATTTTAAGGTGTATAAAAAATAATATTTTATAAAAATTATAATTTTTTTTATTAAATCTAGCATCAATCACTACTGAATGAATTAATAATTAATTATATTAAAATAGTTAATTTTAACATTTTTCTATAATATTTTAAATAATTTTTTATTGATATTAAATATTGTAGATATGATCTATACAATAATATCTTTTAATTTGACAATAAATTTTATTATACAAATATTTAATAAAGTATTATTGAGGTGTTATAATATTAAATATTTAATTATTTTTTAAGAATTGCATCGAATTTAAATGAGACAATTATTATTATGAGACTGATGAAGTATGTTTATCACCTTTGACACGGTAGTTTGATCGAAAAATGTTAGGCACAACTTCCGAATTCTCATTCCAGCTGTCTGGAAATTATAATGGTTACGTGAGCAAGAAGAAATTTCCTCCAAAAGTAATCACATCACCTTCTACTACAATAATAAACCTCTTTTGAACGAGTCCATCTCCATAATTTTAATATCGTTACGTGCTTTCCAATTAATGTCACACAAAAATTAAACTTCTTAGACATTTCCATGTATGTTACGTAAAATTAATATAACAAATATCAAGGTCTAGGTCTAGGTCAAGGTCAACACCTATTATACTAGTTTTCTGTTGCTCACATATATTGTTTATCCTTTCTTTTCCTCAAATTTTCTTATCAAATCCTATTACTTAAACCCTCTTGCAAAGACAGCATTTTCATCTCAAACAATCATACCTAACAATTGCACAACCATACTCTATAATATTACTAATATTTCTTCTAATAGTTTACTTAGCTAATAGATATGGAAGGAAAACAACAAGCACACACGTTAGAAATCAACATTATTTCTGGACAACACATAAGCGTAGATCAAAATTTACAGGCAGAGGATGCATATGTTGTTGTTCGTGCCGAGTCTCTCAACTCATGCACTACAAAAGTGGCGAAAGAGAGTGAGGGTTTACTTTCATGGAATGAAAAATTCATGTTAGATATTCACCCACATGCAAGGTCAGTGACGTTTGAAGTACAATGCAAGAAGTACAAAGGAATTCGTCCCATTGGAGTGACTAGGATAGCACTTTCTGATTTATTTGGTGAGAATGTTTCGTTGCAAAGTTGTGATCAAACTTTGAGTTATGAGTTGAGAGATTGGGATGGTAGGAAAAATGGTGTTATTAACTTTTCTGTAAGGAGGGTGACACAAGAGGACAATATGTGTTTAGAAAAATGAAGATTATTTGGATTTTTTTTTTACTTTTATAAATATAATTTCTTTGGCATTCAAAATTTTAGAAAAATACAGCAGGTAAAGATTATTTGTTTTTCATTCTTTTCTACATAAAGATATATAAATTTTTTTATAAAAATTGTTTTAGTTAGTTTGGCAGTTAAATGTAAGGCCATGGTCGTTACATCTATTTTCTTCATTTCTCTTATGAAGATGTCTATCTCGATTTGAAAGAAATTTGTTTATTTGCAGAAACAATTTCTTTGGGATTCGAAGATTGTTCGAGTGAACTGAGAGTTTGTTTGTAAATCTAAAGAGTATGGTGGTCTTGAGGTTTAGGACCTTAGGCTAGTAGATCTTGCTTTCATTCTCCTTTGTATATTATAATATTTTGACTCTACGATAACGTAGTTGGCTTAAAGGGTGCTCAAAGGTTGTTTGGCTCTCTAGAAGAAGATTTTAGTGGCGAAGTATGGTGTGGAGGTTGTGTCATCCTCTTAAGAAAGTCATGTCGGTTGTGTCATCCAACTGCTGCATTTTATGCTTTTATTTGTGTACAAGTGTAAAATAAATGATTTAACCCTTCAGTTTCTTTGATAGCTTGAGGGATAAAATAATCAGATTTTATTATAAAAAATTTCGTTGAACAAATTTCACTCTAATGTTATCTTATTTATAGCCGCTCCACCGTTGAATGCATCATTTTTTTGGAATGGATTGCAAAACTAAAAAAATATTCTTCTACTTTGAACAAAACATTTTTCCGTTTTTGCAATCCATCTCAAACAATAATGTTGATATTGTTGTTGTTGTTGAAAGTTTTGAACAATTATGATTTATTCCAAATAGTCTTTACTGATGGATTGCAAGTGCGGAAAAAACATTTTTCAAATTTTGGAACAAACGCCTTATTAGAAGTTAAATGCATTCAAAGCATGCACATTGTATACGCTAGTGAAGGCAGTGATAATGATAACATCAACAATCAATCTTGAATGCAAAATTCTGATATTCAAGCATCAACACATATATGATTGATTGCAAGTGCAGAAAAATCATTAAAGAGATTTGTTATAAACAATTTATTTTAATATCATGTGTAGACAATGCAATATTAAAAAAAATTATAATAATAACTATCACCTCGGCTTTTAACCTTAACTGAGGTGATAGTTAAAAATAAATAAATAATAATAATATTATCTTAGTTTAATAAATAAAATTAGGAGTATAATAGTTAGATTTTACTATAAAAGCAATCATTAGATTTTATCCTAATTCGTGTTAATATAAAGCCGTCCCAAACTCGCATCATTATTTAGGATAGATTGCAAGACTGAAAAAATCTTCAATGTTCTTCTATCTAGAACGAAACATTTTTTTGTCCTTTTAATCTATCTCACAAAATAGTGTTGTATTTTTTTTGGGAGAAATATTGTTGTTGTTATATTTTTTCTCATTTGATAGATTGCAAGTGCAGAAAATCATTCTTTTTCAAGTTCAACAGAGAAGGGAGCTCAACCTTTGAAAGGTTAAACAGAGATGAGAGCTTAACTTTTTAGAAGATGAATATCAGCCAAAAATAAATATTCTTATGGGGAAACATATCTCTAGCATCTTGTATGAAACCTGGACATACTATATTTTTAATATTATGGATAAACAATCTTGATATTCTGTAAAGATTTGTTACATACAATATATTTTTAATATTTTGGATAAACAATGTAAACAATTTTGTAAAAAAAAAAATTAATCTAATCCCTCCGTTTTATTCCAAAATCGAGAGGATAGTTAAATCTTATTTTTCACTATTTTTAACGGCATTAAACAAATTTTTTCCGTCCATTTAAAGGTTATCAACACTCAAGAATCCATTATATAATTTCTCTTACGATATTGGAAATCTAACCTAAATGAAACATATGAAGCGCTTGGAAAAGTTCTCTACGATAGATTGCAAGAGCAGAAAATCATCTGAGTTCAAGGTTTGTTTTATTAAATTTTTATTTGTACCAAAAATATTTTTAATTATTGATATTAATTATCTTACCTTTTTTTTCACCAGAAACAAATGCATGCAAGATTCGTAGAGAATAATATTGCACCAAATATTTGATATTCACCTAGATTCAATAATTCGAAGATCTAAAATCTAAGTCTTCATGAAATTTGATTTTTATCTAGATCCCTACAAATTTTTTTAAAATTTTTAATATTATGTGCAAACAATGTAATATTTTGGGTAAACAATATAACAATTTAAAAAAATCATACTTCGTGATTATTTTGATAAATCGAGATAAAAGATATGCTACTTTCGAAAATAATAAAATTTGTTGATGTTGGGATTCAAACTCACGCACTAATAAAATTATACTTCGGTGTTTAGTCATTACTTTTTATGACAACCTTATTTACCTCACTTATTTTGCTGAGGTAAAAGGCATTTTGCATCTGAAATTTGAAGTAGTTCAGGAAAGGTGTTTGGAAGATATTTTAGAGTGGTCTTCGAACCAGGTTTTGGGAGGATGTGTTTGTGAGGTAGGATGGCCTAGAAGGGGTGTGGTGGTAGGGGGTGGAGGTTTGAATAAAACCTTTCTCCTAAAACCAATTTCATAATGTTTTCTTCAAAATCAGTGTTTTACAAAAATACATGACAACACTTTTTTTTCTTCAAAAGATGTATTTTTATTGATTTTACAATTTACTCAAAATTTTATAAAATACATGTTAAATTATGGATGTGTCGATTAACCAAATTCACGAGATATTTAAATTTAATCATATTAATCAAACAATCAATCTAACATTACGAATCTATACAATAAAAATCACAATAATTTTTTTTGAATGAATCAATCAATTATAGGCCTACTCTTACACATAAATAGTTATAGGATATTAAACATCTAATCACATGCGATTATGGAAAAGTGATAAAATCTAAGATCATAAAAATTTATACTAGATTTTAGAGCCTGTTTGGTGCGCATGATAAGAGACACGACATGACATATGTATCATATCATATCTTAATCCGGTGTTTGATGACATAACATGATATGATAAGTTAATGCGGGAACTTATTATATCCTGCCTCACTAGTTCAAATTTTTATACCGAAAATGAGCTGAGTTAGAATATGTATCATATATATATAATGTTATTATATTTGGTATCCTGTGTGAACCAAACACATGTATGATAAGTCTTATCATCTATATATCACATGATATCCTTATTCAGCTTTATATCCTATCATGTCACTATCATATCAAGCACATCAAACGGGACCTTAAAATAAATAAGGAAAGATAAATTATTATCCAGATTTATACTAGTTTAGTCTATTTCTCCTTGCTAGCACTTAGTCTAGTCTCCAATAGCGAACCATTGAAATTTTTCTAGGTCTTCTACTATTTTACATATTAATACAAGTTTTTTTATACAACGGACAATCAAGATAACACTGAACTTTTCAAGCCAAAAAGCTAAACAAACACAAGTCTGAATCTAGATTTCCCTTTTGTTATAAGAAGAACACTAAAACTGCCAAATGCATAAGATCTTCACTCGATTTGGAGCTAGTCACCTTCTCTGATTAGTTTGCTCCAAGATTCCGTCAAGAAAAGTCATCACTCAGCCCTGCCGGAAATCTCTTGCCTAGGATTTTTTTCTACTAAAGGATAAAAAAAACTCTAAAACTTTGATTGCAACGGTCTTCACTCGAACCTATCAGAATTTCCTTGGAGAATGAATTAATATTTTACTTGCTAGAAGCCAGACTCTAGACACCATAATCGCAAACTGATTCTTAAATCAGATAGACACAAAAAGCTTCACAAAAAACATCAGAGCCCTAATGTACCTTGTGACTACCACTCACATTTAATCTTTAGAGTTGAGTATCACAATAATGGGATTTTGTCTTAATGTCCAATATGAATGGTTATCATAAGAAAATGACACATATTTTAAACATAACTCATGACATCAATACTCTATGAAGTTTTTTTAAAGCTTATCTTAAGAAAATATGTCTTTGTGAAAGAAAGAACACACTTAGTTAGTATTTCAAGGTTTATGAGAATTGTGGATTTAGAGTCATGTGTGTGTGTGGAAACAATGATTTGAATGATTTATATATGTGCTCGAGATAAGACAAAAAATAGGTGAAAAATTAAGCAATTGATTCGAGTCAGATCCTACAATTATTAATTGAATAGATGAAAGAGTGACGTGAATCAAGATGATAAAATCTAGAAATAGCTTGTTTGATTCAAATCAAAATTTAAATCATATGATTTGGTTCAAGCAATTACATGATTCGAATCACACAACTAGAGGAGATTTTCAAAAGAATTCATTTAGTCATGATTTGAATCAACCATAGTTGTAATTCTAGTCAAGGTGTATTTGATTTGAATTAGACACAACCTTGATTCGGTATTACTTTTGATTTGAATCAACCAAAGTTGTGATTGAAATCAAGCTTAAAAAACACCTTGTTTTAAGATTTCTAACTTGTGATTCAAGTCGTGCATAGTTGACTTTTGACCATTTTGCTAAACTTAAAAAATATTGCAATAATTTCAACCTAATATAGTGTAAGGAATAAATCAATGTACAATGCTACAATAAATGATAAAGTTGAAATTACAATAAATTGATCAATTTAAAATTACAATAAACGATAACTCAAAAATACGATAAAACATTAAAACACACAAAAGAAATCACATTATTACCGACAGAGCAATTCTAGTCTCACATTTTTTTATGACTGTAAAACTTTGAGATATTCTTGAATAATTGGATCCCTTAATGAATAGTGCATAAGAAAATTTATATCTCGAGTTCTCATGTTACCATTGAATTCAACACTTGACGCGCATAAAAATTTGAGAATTTATGATACCACGTGAACTTATCCCCCTTTAGAAAATATCAAAAAAGGAAGTATCAAAAATAAGGCTAAAACACGTATAACAAGAGAAACTACAACAAAATATAATCACACTACTACTAGCGACACAATCAAAACACCCAATTTATCACAATTACACAAACATGCCTAATATAAATGAAATTACAAAATAGATACTATTACAACAAAGATAAAGACAAAACATATAAAAATAATAGCATAATGAATAAGCTAAAAGGGAAAAACATGCCAACGTGAATTATCAACAAAAAAAGCTGACACAACGTCAATGTGCAAACACAAAAAAACCAACAGGAAAATAATCAAATCTAAAAACTAAACTACACTAAATATGATATGCTCT